CCTCGCAAAGAGTTTGTACAAGATAAGGTGAACACATTACCTCCCTAGCCCCAGAACGTGAAATATTTTCTGAACCAGCCAAATCGACTAAATTTAGCTTGCCACATTTTATGAGTTCTTCGCCTTCAGTGTTTGCTTCCTTGATGTGTATTGTTATGGAGAAAAGGGAATGTGAACGACTGAAAAAGGAAAGAGCATTGCTTCTAACATATTGAATGCAACATAATAATAATGATGGATTCTACAAAGAAACAAAAATCAGTACCTTGATTGCTTATTCAGCAAGGTTTCTGCAGTCCGACGTTTTGCTGATCCCCTTTCAAGCAAAGCGAATATCTCACTAGCACTTGTAACAATTTCTTCTTCAAGTCCTCTCACTAATACTCCACCTTTTCCATCTTCCATAAGTGGCAATTGTTTCTTTTGCCTATCTTCTACAGAAACTTTTGATAAATCATCAGGGGCTAACAAGTCAGTGATCTCTTCATTGTACAACTCTAAGAAAGTAACTTTCACACTATATTCTGCATTTTGACTCTCCAGCATATCAAAAATTTGCTTGACTGCTCGAGGTATAACTCCTGCTCCTGGAGGAAGCTCACTGTTATGCCCACTCTGTTACATCAGGCAATCACAGGTTAGAAACAAAAATCGTTACATAAGCTTCTACAGTGGGATTGAGGCACAAGACCTGTCAGCTAGTACCTTAGACCTCTTACATTCACCTTCCATGGTGTATGTTTTACCTGTACCAGTTTGACCATAAGCAAAAATAGTACAGTTAAATCCCTCTAAAACTTCATTCACAATGGGGATAATTGCCTGATCATAAAGATCCCTTTGCTGAGCAGATGGGCCAAAAACCTGAACAGAACATAACATGATAGAAGCAGTTCTTTTGATATCAGAACATGATAGAAGCATGAAAAAACCAGAACTTAAAACATAAGACAAATTATAGCAAAATATTGGCATTGAACATCTCATGGCTCAAGTGCTTAGATCAGTTCAGATTAGAAATTTCACACAATAATGCTTTGTGTAAAAGAGTATCATAGATGGCATTTCCATATTTAGCACTAAGAGCGATATATTAACAATGATAATAGTAACTCACCACAAGGATGGGGTAGGGGAATTCTCTACCACTGAACATAAAACAAGTCGGATCATAGTTTTTTTTTTTGAAATTGAAGTCGGATCATATTATTTTTCTGTGTAAACAACAAAAATCACTAATATTTCAGACAAGTTGTAAAAACCAGAACTCCACTCTAAATTAAGGATGCTATAACAATGAGATGCCAGTAGTATTCCCTTTCTTGAACATAAGAAGTGACGCACAATGTATGGGAGTGAGGAACTCTGGTTAAGTTGATATCTCACCAGTAAATATTGTAGTCCATGGTCAGTCTGATTAAGAAATAGATGATCGCTTTGAGATGGAAAGGCTGCAGTTCTTTTCTTAATTTAAAAAGATTCATAAGATCAATCTACAATGAGGGTGGTGATGTCAAAGACTGACATTGGCATGACAAAAGAGCTACAAGTTACAAACGTTGCAGGAGCAGAGTCACAGTCCAGCAACTGCTTATCTCCCCACTGGAGGAATCTCAACCCTCCATTTACTTTAACCAAATCAACTTGGGACTCAATAAAAAACTAATTGGCGTGCTCAATGAAGTAAATAAGAAAACCTGGAAGAAGAATCTAAATAGCAATGCATCAGTTCAGAAAATAAATGAATTAAATGATCTGACTGACATGTTGCTCAACACAGTTATCTCATTATTCTCAGGTTTCTAGTTATAATTTGAGAGAGCAGACATAAAGATAGGATAAACAATCACAGATAATCTCTAGGGATCAAGGCATCTTTTTCTTTTGCCTTATAGTCATACTCAAGCGCTTTAATCTTTAAGACTAAAAGATGCAGTTTCATCACTTCTTCAACCAAAAAAGGAACAGTAGAAATGAAGGGTAAAAATACTTACTCCCACCATATGTTTAGACCAAACCAATGAAACTTACCATGGTTAAACTGACTTAATGAAGCAATTATACATTAATCAACCATTTAACCATGTTTAAAGTGTTAGTCGTATATATTCAAACACATGTCACGCATTTATTGATCTGGTGTAAGCACCGTGTGGGAGTAAATTTTACCAAAATGGAGCAGTATTTCTTCTTTCATGGAAACATGGGAATCCCTTCTCGTGTAAAAATTGCTTTCTTCTTCCAGGTCTATGTTGAAATACAAGAGCAGTATCATTCTCTAACCTAATAGAGCCAAGGAAAGTAAATTTTAGGTTCTATAGTCTCACTTAGAATGTCTATGGCAAAGATTTCTTCTTTAAGGTTTATGTTCAAACATAAAAGCGAAAAACCCAATACCATTAGTTCAAATAGGAGTAAAAGTAAAAACCTTCAAATTCCAAGTACCAATTCAACATCAATGCATAAGCAAAACCAAAATGAATAACAAAATTGATTCCAGTATAGTAACTAGATTCCAAACAAAAAATGAAACCATTTTGTAATCAAACAGTAATTACCTTATCAAATGTAAAAACCCTATCTATGTGCTTCCCAGCAATGTTCTGTGAAACAGCTACCTCTTTTTGGTACTCATTGCAAGTCACCACTTGCGGAGCATTATTCCGGACTTCATCCTCACTAAAAGGCCTATAAATACATCAAATCAACAAAATTAATCCATTTTTCGACTTAAACTAATCAGAAAATCGAGTCTGAAATGATCAATATTAAGCATTCTGTGACTAATTAACTAAAATTACAAACGAAATGATATTAATTAGTACCTGCAACGAAGCAGAACTTGAACGTTTACACTTTTCTCCTTCTCATGGCGATTCGACATTTTCGAAGAAGTCGATTTTTAGAGAGAGAAAGTTAGAGAGAGAGAAAGAGATTAGCCGTTTGTGTTAAGGGAGATCTGAAAATGGGAGCGGGATGAAGAGGATAATTTGAATTTTTCGGGAAGACGCTCTTGATCATCATCTGACCGTTGATTTTGTCAAAATTCAGATGAACGGTTGAGATGAAATAGGAATTTCAGATGAGGTTGCCAATTTACAAAGTCATTTACCGGGTCATGTTCGATTTGTTCGGTTCGGGTCCGACTTCTTCATGGAAGGATTCTAACATGGGCCTGTATTTGAACAAAAGCCCAATTAAGAAAGAATGTAGTTTGCAAGTCTTTTCTTTTTTTTCGTTGAAGAAACTATCTAACTACACAAATATTTCTACCACGCATACTAATTTAATCTACTCTATAGTTTGAAATAATTATATATTGTCTCCATTAAGAATTTTGTATCATATTTCAAATCAATCACCACTCCGTCAAACTCCCCCTTGCTCTCTCTTTCTTTCTCTCTCTCTGCAAGGGTATACTGATGAATGTATCATTGCATTTTTTATGCTAGATACATTTTGAAAATATAGATACAAAAGAAGAGACGAGTAATAGAGCGAGATATGAGGTTGTTAGTATCTCATACACATGTGAATCACGCTTGGATACAGCATATCACGTAATTAGGATCTAAACTTATGGAATTTGTATTTATTTATTTTGTTGTTGTTTTGGGGTCAATCGAACATGAAAAAATTAAAATATATTTATCAAAATAATATGTTCGTCCACCATTCGTAACCAAACACACCCAAAGAGTGTAGTGGCCGGTCTTGATGGGGGCATATCCGGCGCATGGAATCAAACACTAAAGTTTGCTCTAGAACTATTAAAGTATACCAACGTTGGTTGTGGTGCAATATTGAGAGTGTTTCACCCTTAATCAGAGATCTCGAATTCGAGCCCTTGATATGGAGAAAATCATGTTGGGAGTACCACCGCCGAATAGGCCTGCATATACAATGAATATGTTAATGTACGTATTAATGATAACGAAGTGAATTAATTTATTCATTTGAATATTTGCAAACATCTCAAGTGTTGGGTAACAAAGAGGTTCATCTCTATACCGCCGGCCTTATTGAATTTGAAGAGGCAAAGTTGTATATGAAAGTTACATTTCTCATTCACTTGGTTGTCACTTGTCACTATAAAACTTAAATTGTAATTTATTGACTAAATTAAATATCTAAAATTGATACTTCGCTCATCTTAGTCGACACATAATAGTGGAAACGATATTTCTTTTCCATAAAAATATAAAAATAGGGATAACGTAAGTGTATATTTTATTCAAGGAAGAAAGCACAAGTATTTCTGGACTATGATGATCGAAATTCCAGAGACACATATGAACTCATTTTATATATAATATTGTACACCTTTTGGCTTATGTGGTGCACTGACTCCACGCAGTTGAGGCGCATGGGAAATATTTAGATGTCACGTAAGCCAAAAAGGTATACAAAATTACAAAAAAATAAATAAATTTAGTGAATAATAGGATCTTAGTTTTGTTAAATTGTATATCTGAAATTTGTGTCATAGTAGTCTAAGGAGGTAATTCTACCGTTTCCTTTTATTCCATCAAAACCTTCCTTGTGGTATAATAATATACATAGAAGGAGCTAGAGACCAAGTTACAGGTTTAGCCAATTAATTCAGTAACGTTCATCCAAACTTTGTATTCATTTTTTAAAAAAAATCAAGAAATCCATCTAATAAGAACCATTCATTTAAAAAGGCTAAATTCTTTATTATAATATACAAGTTACATTGTTTCGTAAACAAAATGTACTTTAGAAATCATTCTGCGAGCCAGAATTAGATTAATATAATGTTTATATTGCAATATTAGTATTTGTGTTTGATAATTTGTCGAAAATTCGAGCATTGCGAAATTATGGCATATGATTGTAATATTTTACTAGTAATATGAATATAAGGACCGCGAAAAATTGTGAATAATAGCAAACATTTACATCAAATGCTATAGCTATAGTTTCGGGAAATTCTAATCTCAATTTAAAAAAAAAAATTGCCGTACCAAATCTCATGGTACAAGAAAATTGAACATTGAAATAATTTATTATCTCTTCTAACTCATGAATTTTCTAAGATCATTTCTTCGTACCATACAATAACAATCATAATAACAACATATTCAGTATAAGAAGATCGTTTCTGATAGACTTCTGCTAAAAAAAACTCCATGCTACTCTATAAGATGGCACTCAAAATGTGATCCAACTCTATTTTCCTATGCTATTATTCATAAAACAATATCTACAAAAACTCCTCCACCAACTCACCAAAATCAAACTTCCCATTGCAACATTCCACAGCATTAACCACTTCTTGAAATGCATTAACACTACATGGCACCACCAATCCATTTGTTTGGTCAAACCCAAACTCATTGTAAGTTTTCTCCAACAAAATCGTGAACAATGGATGAGAAAGATAGCTCGTTGGAACGATGAATCGTTCTCGTTCTTCCCCCACATAGATGGCTAAATTCCCTATTGGTATTGTTGAATTAGGGTTAGCAAGTGACCATTCTTCATTGCTTTTGTTGTCCTTAATAAGAAAGTATTCATGAGTAGGACTTGTTATTGCCTTAGCCTTCTTGGCTAATTTCTTCATTGAAATAAACTTGTTCATTCCTAGCATTTTAATAAATTTGGATTGGAAATATAAAAAGTAGAAGAAGAAAATATAAGAAAGTTAAAAGGGAAAGAAGTTCCTTGAGTAATATATATCCACTAGAAAAGGGTGGGTAGGATGGTTTTTCTCAAAGAAAACTATGTTTGTTAATATAGAGATTATTTTATGTATTTTGGACTTATCAATAGTTTAGTGCAATTATTAGTAGGTATAAAATCTTATAGCCTATCTAACCAAGAAGATATTATTTATTGGATGGGTATATATGACTCCACAAATATAAAGGGATAATAGTATTTTTTGGTGAATTCTGATTTTGATTTTTATAATATATAATTTAATATATTCAATTTTTAATTAATTAAAATATGAATTTATTATATTTGGATTATTGTTGAAGTATATATTCTCAAATACAAGCAACAACACAAAATTAATATAACACATAGGTAATTTAATATTAAATTGTGGATTAATCATTAATAATACTTAATGATTGTGAGTATTCACAAGCGATCGAGAGATCAAAAAGTCATATCTTTAATTTAAATATATTTAGTCAAATATCATAAGAGTTAGAAATAAATTAACAATAATATATAGAGAGATTAAAAATGCTATATATAAGCACAAATATAAATGTAGTTGGAACAATATATATTCTCTAAAGAATAAATAAAACTTCTTTAGGTAAATGATCAATGGAGGAGATCAAGAGTTGTCTATATCAATTATTAAATACTTTTAACCACTTAAAAGGACCCCTTAAATCAAATATTAACTACTTAACTAATGAATTAGCATAAAAAGAGAACTTGGATTAGTTATAACCAACCAATTCTACCAAAAAAAAACAAAAACTAAGACATATATAATAGCCGTATAATTGAATGAAGAATATAATCATGGTTTAGTTGAAGGGTTAACTTAATTCCTTGCCATTTGTCAATCTAAATAAGAAAATTAAAGTTAATTAGGCTTTTTCTATTTATGAAAGTTATCACTTAATTATCACCAACTCATCAATTTGTTGGTCGGCTTGTACGGCAAATCCAACAAATCCTAATAAAAGATATTTATTATAATGTTGAAACCCTTTCAATATTAATCACTTAATTAGGTGTATAAAATTAGTCGAACTACCAAACATTGGAAATGAAAAATACAAGAGGCTAAACGTGCATACACATAATGTGTGGAGAGAAGACCAAAACCTTTTTTTAAAAAAAAATAAAATAAAAATGGAAATATATTAACGATGGATTACTAAAGATTTAGGGTCCTAATAATGTATAAATAGCGTGATCACGCGAAAGAGTCGCATGACAATTTTGAATTATAAGACTGTAAAGACAATTTAAATACATGACGAGATATTATAAATGTCGACAAAATAACTTTGCTATCACGATTCAATGTAGTTTAACTTGTTGCTACGATTTTAATTCAATATTTGAAGATGACAAACACATACTTTTCAAAATAGTTGTTTATTTTGAAAAAAGTTTATTAGATATATACAGCTGTTTTGATTTTTTAAATTTTTGTGTGGAAATAACTCACTTTAAACTAAGAAAGAAGTCAAAATTAATTAGAATATTCTTTGTGATTTTGACTTTACTCGTTTGTATATTCATGATGCCTAACTTGTGTATATATATGATATTAAAAATATATACATGTAATGATCAGTACGAAATTTTGTACCTGGTTCTTTGAAAATGTCATTGCAGAAATTTCATTTTTATATATTTATCAATATATATATATATATATATATATAGATATATATAAACCTTCCATAATATTCTTGTTTCACAAATCAATAAAGTCAATAACAATAGTTGCCTTTGAGAAAACGTGCTTAGAATAACGATTGAATTTGTTAATATGGTTCAAAGACACATAATTTATAACATGATATAATAAGAATCTTAAATGGAAAAGTTGTCCTGCATGGTATTTTTTATGGTAATTTTGTGTTTTAGGTGGCTTTTTATATGTCTTTATATAAGACTCGTGCGCTACTTGTTCAATTATATATCAGTTTAAGTGTTTATTCGTGCACAATTAAAATTAGATAGTATAGATGTCAGTTGAGGCCAACATGTCCTTTAACTTAGCCTCACCTAACATTTATGCCCTCCAAATTTAGGTGTCCACAAGTAGATACTTAAACTTACATAACATTGAACAAGTAGACATTTTTGTTCTAGGTGATATAATACACGTAGGACGTCACATAAATATGAATTGGCACATATATTGTCATGTAGAACCCATGTGTTTACATGTTCAACTTTATATAATTTTAAGTGTTTAAATGTGCAAATCCAAAATAAAAATCATAAATATCAAACGAGATCAAGTGAAAAAAATACATTATATATACTGCAACAGAGAAAACAATTTTAAAAATGGTGCGTTTAAAGTTAAACCTTATGAACCTTTTTGCATTAGTTCTGCAATTCTGCCCCAATTATTATGCATACCAGTTATTAATATAGATATTGGATAACTCTATGTGAAAAAATCAATACTTTCAGTTTTAACCTATTTAAAAGAAGTACATCTTTCCTAATTTGGTAACTTTTGAATTTCAATATTGCCTAAATATGTTTAAGATTTTAATATTAAAATACATTTGATAAATTATATATACTTTTAGGTTAAAGCTATAAGATTTAAATGTCTTATTTAATAATTTTCTTAAGTTTTTCCAATCAAACTAATACAAATAAATTAAAACATAAAGAGTAATATTTTTACAATGTTATGATTCTCAATCAACTCCATTAATATCGCATTGTTATATCAGTCCATTTTCAATTTTCATTACAAACCCTGATTGTATGGAAGTAAGAAAAGTTATAGTAGCAAAATGAGTTAGAATTAGAATTTGAAAATTCTTATACATTATGCATATATGTTTTATCTCCCAAAATTATTTTCTGCATGTTGTTTTAAATTTATTCTTGTTTTAACATTTATATTGTATAATTAATGTATATTTTTTTATGACTTTTGATGAGATATACATAAGTTATACACTGGCTATAGCAAACATAAAAATTATATTTTTATATTATAACTATAGTTTGCATAATTGTGTTCCATAGCAAACATAAATATATATATTTTGCTATACATATACAAAAGAAAACAGTTGTATAACTTCGTTGTATATATACAAAACTATATAATATGTCTTGGTATACATATACAAAAAATGAATTGTATAATCAACGTTTATATAAAGCGAGCAAGACAAAATAAAACTGAGCAGGGGAAGATCGTATTTGATTGATAACAAGTTATAGGACAAAAATATATGCACTTGTATTTGTATATACAATTTTCTCTCGTTTTATACAAAAACAAACACAGTGTATATATTTGTGTTTGTATAAAGTGAGAAAGGCAAGTGAGCGAGATCTGGGAGAGTGGCGAGCGAGATCTAGGGAGGGGAGAGAGGGGAACAAAAATATATGTACATATATACAATTTTTTCTCGCTTTATACAAACACAAACACATTTTATACATTTGTGTTTTATATAAAGTGAGAGAGGCGAGTGAGTGAGAGAGATTTGGGAGAGTGGCGAGCAAGATTTGGGAACGGGAGAGAGGGGAACAAATATATATATATATATATATATTAATTTGAATTAATAATTTGCTGTTATATACAATTTTTCCTACATTATAACACAATCAACAAAATTTAACATAGTTTAAATATATATGAAATATACACTAATTATACATTAACTATACGTTGACTATTTAATCTTGATCAACTCAAAATCACTTTTAAATAGTTTCAAATTATAGATACGATAACATTTTGAGTTTTTTTTAAATGTCAAAGAAGGAGGAGAAGGACGAACGAGAAGGAGAAAGGAGGAGGTCAAATAAGAAACTCTTCATTTTTTGGTAATTAAGGTTACCGAATTGTCTTTGAGAGTAAATATCCCCCTAGTTTATTTTCCTCTCATTTATTTTCTAATATGATCTGCTTCATATGCTTTTTCTTTGGAATTTTTCCCAGCAAAAGTAAAGGTTTTATTTAATCACAAAAAATATTTGTTAAGATTAATTTAATCGCTAAAAATTCAAAAAGTGAGGATAGTTCAAAATCATATAAAGAGATCAATTTATTCAATCTCTTTAATGCAGGACTCAATCTTCAACACACTCCCCACACCCATGACTTGATATAAGAACGTGAATAATTTAATATGCAAGTCCAATATTGATAAATCATGAATTGAGATGAATCCAAATCATATCATGTTAAAAAAAAATTGACTCTTAATCCTAATTAAGCTTCAAAAACTAGCTCAAAATGTAAATTTTACTCAAAATTATATTTTCTTAAAAAAGTTATATTTTTTCACATTCACCGAATAAAACTCTTAACAAAATATCGAATTTAAGCACACATTAACTACTCATAATTATCATCTTTTCCTTGGGTCAAAGTTTTTTTTGCAGTCAAACAAGACAAATAGGAAAATATGTTAAATTGGGCCATTATTTAATTCTCAAGTCTTCAGTCTTGGATATCCATTTTAGTATATATATAATTTTTTTCCTTTTTAATAAAGTCAATAAAGAAGTAAGAAAATTCACTTGACCAACAATAGTGAAGAGGTAATTAGTAGGAATTTTGGGGTGAAGACACTTTTGAGTCGTTTGGTTTGAAATTAAGGAATTAGAAATTTCAATATTGAATTAGTAAATAGTAATAATGAAATTATTTAGTGTATATGTACTTTTATTTTTGGTAAATTTATTAACATTACACAAAATGAATAGTATCTTAAAAGAGGCAACATGAGAAGAATTTGCAATATTAAGAATGATACTTTTTGTTTTTGGCGTCATATTTGCTGATTATTTTAAATTTGTAAACTTGAGATCTCTAATTAAAGAAGAAGCAATTACATTCTTTCGTCGTTTCGAGAGAATGAACTTTTGATCTCATTATAGAGTGTATATATAAAAATATATATTCGCTCTGAATCGCAAAATCGAACTATATTTCAAAATTCCACTCCAAAATACTATCAAACAAGGGTCCATGGGGTTGGCACGTGCATTGTTGTCATATGAAATATGGTTAGTTGATCACACCATTTTGTACTCTTAAGTCTGTCTTGATCGAATGTGACTAAAAAATAGCTCATTATTAATTTAAATAATTAAACATTGCTTAGTTGGTGTTGGATCCCATCAGTCTTTCAATTATTAAATGGATTATTGTTTGTAAATTGCTACTACAACTAATATAAATAAATGATTTTGAGTTATTATATACATAAACAAAATGTTATGATTATATGATAATGCTATGATTTACTAACCTGACAACTCAAAGCAAGGTCGAAATTCATTTTTTTTTCCTAAAATTGATTAACTAATAACTCATCAAGCAAGTTAAGTGTAATCTATTATGGTCATTAATTAATGTATATTAGAAAAAATTAATAGTAACAACTAACAACTTTACAGTCAAATGTCAACAGGTATAATTAACTTTTTTTTCACCAAAAAATTACAGAATGATTGTGTTAGTTTAGTTTAATATTAATAAAATTATTTATAGTGGAATGGGTAAATAAATCGAAATATTATTTTTGTTTTAAAATATTTTATAGTTTTTTTCTTATATCTTTCACATTCATCAAATAGCTATCGAAAATTGTACCACTTACTCTATTTTTGTCTAACTAATTATAGTAATTAGTACTTCCTCGATCCTAATTTCATTTCCCCTCTTTTTGCAGTTTATAGCCTAAAAATGAATTACCCAATCAATATTTTAGATTACTTTTATTTGGCAAACAAATACATGAAGGTACATTTTTCTATTTAAAATATATTTATTTGAAAATATCTTCTCATATTTCTAAAATTTGATGATCAATCAAATTATATTAGTAATACATTGAGATAGAGGGATTATAGTTTTAATATCAACGTGGTAAATTTTTATCCTTTTTGCGTTTGTTTTTCATCTGACGTACGATACTCACATCATCTCTGGTGCCTAGGCATCTGTTAGACCCTCAATGTGATGGTTCGAGCGGCTTAGGCTTGACTAATGTTCTTTGGTCGAACTTTGTAGGTTGCACTATTTGTGTGATTCTTTGTGACGCGAGTTTACTCCAACGTTAGGGCTTGTTCCTGTAATGTAATTGTGTGTTCTACTTTTGTATGCTTGTCTAGAGCTAATCTAGAACGTAAGTGAAAAAGGAAAGACGTGTTGAGTCTGAGTGTTTAGATTGTCTTAGTGGGTTAAATCGATTGAAGTTGACTCCCTAACAATATTTACCGTAAACTTTTTCTCGTTTGAACCTCGCCCTTCACTTTTAAGGCTAGGCTACGTCATCCTAAGGTGGGTCAACTTGGTAATTTTTCTTACGTCTCTCCCTCCCAGTACCTAGATATTAGATACACCCCAAAATAAAGATTTTACGAGTTGGTGTCAATTGAGTGGTTTGTGGACTTTCGTTGCACTCCATAATTTTTTGGCCAAATAAATTTCACTCATTAAATTTGAATTCGTATTAATAAAATTATATAATAAGAATAAAGTTTAAACTCAAGATCTCTAATTAATTAAGAATATGAATACTTACTAACGCACCGCAATTTGATAGTAAATTTTTTACCTTGTTCATATACAGTTATTATGAAATCCTTTTTAAATATATTCCACTGCCTATTTTCAATCGACAGACTCAAATCGCCTCAGAGTTTGGAATTTTTTTTCAACTGTACTACTCTCTCTCTCTCTCTTTCTCGATAATGACTCAAGTTGATTTGGAATCACTAGTTTCCACCAATTCCGGCGGAAGTAATGACCGGAAAATTGTATGTGAAACTCTAGCGAAAGCCGCCGGCGTCAAACCGGAGAAAAATGATATTCCAGACGACGAAAAGGAACTTCCGCCGGATTTCCCGCCGGAGTCATTCTGTCTATCGAAAGATGCTGAACTCGATTGGTTTGATAGAAACGCAGTTCTGGAGCGTAAGGAATCAGCAAAAGGTAACAGTTCACACGGAACGAATGTGACTTCAAATTTGCATCCAAATTTGAATTCAAACTCACAACGAATTCCATTGACTTTGAAAACTAAAACTACTTTCTTCGGTTTACCGAAGAGTAGTTCTGTTGATTCGAAGAGGAAAACATGTAAACCGGCGAATATGCGTTTTTTTCCGACGAAACGATCTGAATCGGCATTGAAAGCGGTTTCCGCTCCTGAACCGGTATCACCGAAGGTATCATGTATGGGAAGAGTGAGATCGAAGAAAGGTCGCCGGCGATCATGTGAAGCATCCCAAAAATCTGAAATATCACTCGAGAGATCAAAAAGCAGCAGAACACCTAAACGGAAAATCGGATTCTATTCACGTCTACTTTCAATATTCGGATTCGGTCGGAGTAATATCAAACCGGTGAAGGCTAGTACAGAGAGAACGCATGATTCCATACCGGAAGAGCCACTTCCGCCGAGAAAGAGCAACGCTGTGGTAACCGAAAAGGTTCATAAAGTTCCGGCGAGTGTTGAACCGGTTTCGGTTTCCGATTCAAGCGGTTTAGGAGGAATGATGAGGTTTACGTCGGGCCGGAGATCGGAATCCTGGGCCGCCGATGAGATCGATGCAGTGCTTTCAGAGTTGGGTACAGATCGGAAAGTGGGTCCCACTATAAGAAATTGAATTCCAGTGAAGGAACGCGCGGAAGTCATTTCTATGATGGTTAAAATTTCGTTAGTCCAACGTGGCAGTAAAATTTACTCAATATTTCTCTAGTTGAGCAATTTCTTTTTTCAATTTTTATTGGTTCAACTAGTTATGCGAGAATTATAATGTAAATTTAAATGTATTACTCTCGAAAAAAAAATCTATTAATTCTCTTTTATGAATCATAAACGTAACGATATCATAGTAAGGTTTATGGTTCAAAGTCATAATAGAAGAAATATTTGTCTACTCATACATACTTCACTTGGTTTGGAATGGAACTCAGTTGGTAGGACTTCATTCTAACGTTATTTAGACGATAATAATAATATATTTTACTTAAATGTTTTTGAATAATGCATAATACGTAAATTAATTACTTTGTATACAAATATTTTTCTTTTTTATTTGCTAATATTGTCAATCTCATTCCATATTTATTGTAGGTAAAAAAAAATTTTTTAAAAAAAACATAAATCAAACAACTCAACATTTGGAAGATTTTGGTACAATAATAATGTTGAATAATAGGTGAAGTAATATTTAATATATTCAATTTTATGACATACTACACATCTTACATATATTTAATAATATTACCGTACATAAAAGGAATCTATAGTTTATTTACATAATTAATACGGAGAAATATAGAATAGCATCCAAAGAAACAAAGTAATAAGAAAGTTATGTTGAAATTCACGCTTTTAATATTACTTCATTTACTTTATGGAGTTTAATTATAGTAATATTTTGAGATATAATTTTTCACTATGTAAAATAAAAATTAATATAACTTATAATATTTCTTATTGTTTTAAATATTATAATTTTAATTTAATTTAATTAATTATCTTTAAAAATTAGGTAAATAATTTTTCACAAATTAAAACATGAAAAATAAAGAAGAATGAAGAGAGTACATGCCAAAATCTAAAATTGCAAGTTTCTTTGGAATTAGGACAACTTTGAATAATGTGACATGTTAAAATATTGTTGTTGCATGTAGATCCAAAGTGGTGAAAACGATTTAACTTCAACTGTATAATTTTGACATAGTCAATAGTTCAACACTAATAAGTCATCATATTTAATAATCTAATCAGAGACGGAATCACAATTTTTTGATATAAAGTATCAAAAGTATAAAGTAAAAATACACGAGCACCATTACAGGGATAGACCAAACAATTTCAAGCAGTGTTTGCAATTCCTTAACAATTTTATCAAATTTTCTTGTATCAAGAGGTGTCAACATTTAACTATATATTTATTAAATTAAATTTTGATCTACATATAATTTTCAAACGAAGGGATATTGCTTGACATCCCTTATCCTAGGATAGCTCCGCCCCCGAAGTTAATGACCGTACTTTCTAATACATTCAGTTAATCTTACAAAAGATATCTGAAAAAGATAAAATATACACATGTATATTATCTCTATATCAAACACAAATTTAAATTCGACAAAATATGATTGCACCACTAAAAAAAGCAGGAGAAAACGTATTAAGTGACAATTGCTCTATAAACATGTAAGTAAATTAAACAAACTCAACGTTTAATCAAGTAAATTAAACAAACTCAATGTTTAATCAACTGCGCTATTTCGCCTTCTTATATCATGCATGAATATCAACATATAATATTATATTAATTTTAAAATATATATACACATAACACCTAATTTATAAAAAAATATCATAATTTCACATGCTTTATATCGCATATAAATTTGCTACTATTTTCATAAAATAGAAAAATTATTTTCGATAAAATCCGAAAAACATGCACATAGGGAGAAGAGGAAATAATGGGAGCTCAAAAAAAGGTACAATCTGTCGAAGACACAACTGAGCGTCATCACATGAATTTGCTTCACAGGCGCTGCTTCCACGTTGGTCTGATATTTTGCAAATAGACAATTAAACTCAATTATAGATACACAGAAATGGATATACAATTTTATTAATTATTTATAATAAACCATTTCAAATTAGTCTATTATAATAAATATTTCTACTCATCTATTAGATCTCTTAAGATATATATAAAATTTTGAATAAAAAATATCGAGTTCACGTCAAAATAAATATAGCATTCTTTATTTTATTAGACAATCAACTCTTGATTTAATTTTTTTAATAGATAATTTAAATAAAATTAAAATCATTAAGAAATAATTTTATTGTCACTTGTGTGAATCCAATTTCTTGCTTATTAGCCTAAAAGGCTTACAAATGCAATTTGTACGGAAGAAGGCCAGGCCTAGTCCTCCTTCTTCATCTGTATTCTCTTTAACAGTGAAAATACAAATAATAATAATAATAATAATAAAAAGCTTCCTGAAACAAAAAGAAATGCAATAATATAAATATTATATAAATACTCAACTTTTAAGATTATTAGGTTGCTCCCTTAAATGCTCTATCCATTATGAAGTTAAAAATAAATATTTTTGTCCTAATTTTTAAATTTCTAGCTAAGAATTATTCAAATTGAAAGTTTTCAAATTATATAAGTGACGAAAGTTAAAAAAAAAAACATATTATTAATTCGGGATGAAAATATATTTTGAATAGTATATTTTTAAAAATATTATATTATATTTTAAAAGAATTACGAATATTAAATATTTAATTAGCGAAATTATTAGTATAATAATACGTTCATTCCAAAATAATAAAATGAAAAGTGTAAATAATAGCTTCCAAGTTTGAAGAACTACTATTCATATCTCTATAAAGAGAGAGATACTTTGCCCTCCAGATATAGAGAACAAAGATAAAATAAAGATGAATCGAATATGGTCTAATAAATCCTTAAACTATAGTGTATATAAGTTTATTCCAAAAAATTATAGGTCTTGAACATCTTCTGTGGCAAGAATAAAGATGTGATAATTAGGGTTGTTCATGGTTATAATTATAAAATTAAGTTGAACCATAATTCGTACCAAATCAATTAAGAAAAATTAATATTTGGTTTGGTTTGATTTTAAATTTTGAAAATTGATACTATTTGATTTGGTTTTGATTTTACAAAAAAAATAACCTTAAAAATAACCATACCGGACTGATAATTTAAATATATAAATTTATGATTATTTATATATTATTGATAAATAAAATACAAATATTTTGTTAAATTTTAATAAACTGATATCTTCAACTTTACCTTTTTTCTTTAAGTCCAACTGTAACAACAATAAATTCAAGTCTACTAAAATTCATTTTAATTTTTAGGTAATTAATAAAAAGTTTAAATATTTACTTAATGCTATCAAGACGAATATCATACCTATCTAAAGAAAGTCAAATAAATACGCAAACATCCAACAATTAAAGATCTACTACTAATAAAAAAGGCGATTAAAACTATAATTCTTTTTGCTTTTAAAAGATTTAAGCAATATAACTTATAAACAATTTTAATTTTCGATATATTAAAAAAAACTTATTATTGTACAATCAAAACTTATATAACAATTAGAGTTTATATCACACAGTGGATATGAATACGAAATCAAATTCGTCCCCATATTAATTTTTGTATAATTTATTTTTCTATACAAAACATTATTATATAAATTATTGATTAAAACTAAGTCATGGGCAAGCTTTCATTATTTCATGAAGGGTCCAAGACGTTTTCTCCCTTTCCTTTTTCAAAATTTATGTTTTAATATTTTTGGATTTTGTCTGATTTTCTTTCAAAAAATCATGTCATAGTCCTACTTTGTTCATCAAAATAAGTTTCTGATTGAAGTAGTAAATACTGAAATTGATTTTATAAATACATATATAATTATATATGTAGCTAGATAAAAATATTGAAATTGATAATAACCCGCTAGTATATTCGGTAAAAGTTGTTGATATTCATTTTCTATGTTAAAATTATTGATAAATCCTTATATATATAACCTATTCTTGCTTTTAAAAAATGAATAGTGGATTTTAGTTAGCTTATAAACCACATGGTCTATAAAAACTTTTAAGATTACTAAACACGTAAATAAACTTTTAAAAAAATACGTATAAGTTAGTTCGATTAACTCTATAAGTCTATTTGAATATATA